CGATTGTCCCCACTGCGAACTGCCACACGCCAGACCTCCTCTTTTGTGTGCCCCGTATAGAAATGCAAACGAGCCGCGTGTGCCGGCAGCAATCTGCTGGTCCCTGCTGCCCGCGCCCCACAGCGATCTGCCAGGGCCAGGGGTGGGGGACGGGACGGGACGGGGTGGGGGTGGGGGGCGGCGGCTCAGACCTTGCAGCCACGACCCTGAAAGGCGCTGAGTCCTGAGTTCTAGTGGCGGCCTTGGCCTGGAGTCAGCTGCAGTTGCAAACCTTTGACTTTAAGTTTCGGTTTCAGTGCAACAGCCCTATAAACTTCAAATTGAGAATAAGAAAAAATTAGAAAGGTCGCAATAAACATAAATGCAAAAAAGACTTTTACATTCTCCAAGTGTGCATTTCACAAATTCCAGTATCGTATTAGCAAACAACGTTGTTGGTTTTTGTTTTTTTGTTTTTTTTTTTTAACTTTTGCCTTTTAAGGACTTACAAAAAAGAAAGGCGAGATGAAATCTGCAGGCTCCAGTCTGCCTGGTAACACCCTGACAAAAGCGGCAGATTTGAGGCTGTGTCATCCCCCGCACCCCTCCCCACGTGGCCTTCTGGCACGAGCCGCGGGCCTGCCGCCTCATTTGCATCAGAAAGCGGGCGCTGGCCAATGGGAGCGCAGCCTCCCGCCAGCTGGCGGCGTCGCGCGGGCCGGTCTATAAAAGGACTCGCGCGGCCGTGCCTGGCGCACTCGCTGGTGGTGGGCGCGCGGCTCGGGTTGTGGGGTTCCTTGCCTGCGCTCGGGTTCCCTCGGTTCCCTCCGCACTCTTCACTTTTGGATAACTTGCTGTTCGTGGATCGCACGATGACTCTGGAAGAAGTCCGTGGCCAGGACGCAGTTCCGGAAAGCACAGCCAGGTAGGTGGGTTTTGGGGTGCCGAGAATTGGACTTGTCGGGTAGCGATCTTTCAGGGTCTTCTAGGATGGAAGTTTGCGGGGTGGGAGCCATGCACTGTGACAGCGAGGTGCCCAGGCGGTGGGACCACATTGGATTTATTCCTAGAACTAGAGTCTAGGGTTCTGGCACCAGGTCGGGATTGGGGAGCCCGGGCTATGGGCTCTAAGATCAGGAGTAGGGAACCGGGGGTGCAGGCGCCAGGTCGAGACTGGGTGATGGGGAATGAGGGCGCCAGATCATGACTAGGGTGCCAGAGGTGTGGGCGCCAAGTCGGGACTGGGGATCCGGGTGTGTGGGCGCCAGGTTGGAGTTGGGAGTCAGGAATGCTGGCGCCAGGCAGGTCTCGGCTAAGGAGCCAGCTGGGACTTGGAGGTCAGGGCTGGGATCTCCGCCGCGTCCCCGTGCCGGTCCCCACTCACCGTGCTTGTTCTTTCACAGGATGCAGGGCGCCGGGAAAGCGCTGCACGAACTTCTGCTGTCGGCGCAGCGCCAGGGCTGTCTGACCGCTGGCGTCTACGAGTCCGCCAAAGTCCTGAATGTGTGAGTAGACAAGGCCCCGCCGCGTGCAGGGATGGGGGTTGGCGCGGCTGGGAGACCTGGGGGTGGCATCGACTCTGACCTTGTCCCTTCCCATCCGCTTTGCAGGGACCCCGACAATGTGACCTTTTGCGTGCTGGCGGCCGATGAAGAGGATGAGGGCGACATAGCGCTGCAGATCCATTTCACGCTGATACAGGCGTTCTGCTGTGAGAACGACATTGACATCGTGCGCGTGGGTGATGTGCAGCGGCTAGCGGCGATCGTGGGCGCAGACGACGAGGCGGGTGCGCCAGGAGACCTGCACTGCATCCTTATTTCGGTGAGTTGCTGCTACTACCTCTCCACGCCACTCTTCCCCCACCCGTCTTGGCCAACGGCCAGCCTGGCTGACCCAAGCTATTTTTTTTTAAAAATACAGAACCCTAATGAGGACACGTGGAAGGACCCTGCCTTGGAGAAACTCAGCTTGTTCTGCGAGGAGAGCCGCAGCTTCAACGACTGGGTGCCCAGCATCACACTTCCCGAGTGACAGTCTGGCAGGGACCTTGGTCTGATCGACTTGGTGACGCTCTAGCGCGCTGCTGGCTCGGGAGCGGCCCTCCGAGGGCGCTCGAGTGCGCATGGAGACTGGCGGGCGGTGTTGCCTGGAGAGCGAGGAGCGAAAGGCTCCCAAGAAGGGGGCCTGGCGGCAGCGGGGACACCTTGTTCCGAGCCCAGGACTCTGCCAGTGTCCAGAGAGGCTACTAGCACAGGAAGGCCTGGGCAGGGACGTTGGCCGCAGGGCCGGGAAGAACCGACTGGTGAGGCAGGCGTGACTCAGCAGCCTTCCAGTGAAAGGAGGGGAAAAGGCAAGGCACGCGGCCTGGACTTGGTACAGCTGCAGGAGTGGCCAGCTGCAGGAGCGAGCCGGACTTCGCAGGCTGCACTGCTCTTTCCAAAACGGATCCTGGGCAATGCTTTCATTTTCTAAAGGACGCTATCGTGGAAGCTTTGAATTTCACAATAAACTTATTGAAACAAACCTCTGCCTTTTATTGAGGGTAGGGGGATTCTGATCTCAGGGGGAGGTGGTAATAAAGGGTGTTTCTGGTGGTTGATGGAGCTTATGGCACCTGTGACCGCCTTTCTGTTGGGCAAGAAGTTACAGCCTCTTGGGGCTGGCGGCGGGGGAGGGGGTGCTGGCGAGTGGTAAGGAGGAGAACTTGGGGCCGGTACTGTTTTATCCTTTCAGGAAGATTTTAAACTTGCAAGACAGGAGCATACTTGAGATAAGGCATCCCGGTGCAGGAGCTCAAGGCTTGCAATCCAATCCGATAACAGAGACTTCTGCCTCCAGTTCCGCCCCTCCCCCTTGCCCCTCCCCCTTGCCTCCGACAGCTGCTTATCTGAACAGCTTGCGGGAGGCCCTGTGCCTTCCAATACAATGAGCTGCCTTCTGCAACTCTGCCCTCCGTGGTGCCTGTGGATGGGGGTGGACCGCTTTTGCTTTCAGGAACTTTCTCCTTTTAATTGCTCTGAAAAGCAACGCTACTAAAGTATTAATATCAAATATGACACCAGTGACTGCGTTTTAAGTATGAATCATCATTTTGTCACAGCCGTGATGGAAGTTACAGTATCTTAGCAAAAGTTGGAAGGCACAGTCCTATATAAATAGGCGTGAGCCAGTCTGAGTGGGGTGGGCATCTGCCAGTTCCTATTCTGAGTGCCTCTGCCCACACCAGTGAGGGCTGCTGCTACCCACAATTCCTTTTAAAGTCGGAGGAGAAACGCTTGGGAGCCAAGATTATCTTTTGAGAAGGATCTGGGGGACAGTCCCAGTGAGAGGACTTTTTCCTGTTCGCTTAGTGCTTCTGGCTTTCACTGCCTGTTCCAGGCTGGCTGGGTTTGTCAGGGGAAGCCCACGTGGGGCTTTCTCGCTGTCAGCTCGGCTGCCCGGCAGCCCGCGAGCCTTCGGGGAAGGGAGGGGTGGGGTGCTGTTTTTCTTAGAAGGCCATTCGGCCGATTTACCAGCAGGGCTTAGGGAGGCTGGTTTGCCGGTTGAGAGCCACTTTTAAAACTTGACTCCACATTCTGGAAGCCTGTACAAGGCAACAGGAAAACTGCAGGAGCCCGATGACACTTCCGGTGAGGAAAGCATCCCTTTTCTACTGGGAACCAACTCCGGTGAAAGAATGCAGCCACATCTGTGCCCAAATATCATTGCTACCTCACTTAGGTGGTGTTTTCTCTCATTTTTCTTCGGTGGGAGAGTCTTGCAGAGTGGACCTGCAAGCTGGGAAAAATGACTTCTTGCCATAGTGTGCCGTAGTTAAAACAAAGGGGGTGTAATTACCTCAGAACGTGGCCTGGAATGCATGAACTCAGCAGAACACTGCAGGCTGGCAGACCCTTGTAGAACATTTGAGTTGGCAACCGGTAGGAAACCTGGCTGTCTCTGATTGGCCCTTACTTTGTGGCCACCTGTTAGAGTTTTAGGAGACAAGGATTTTCAGTGGGGAGGGGAGGTGGGGGTGGAGACAAAAGGAATTGCAAGTTTGCATGCCTAGTGGGGGGGGGGAGGGGAAGAGGGAGGGTGGCCAAAATTTGTGCTGGATTTCTTTACTTTTTTCTTCATATATGTAAACATTATTATAATGAACTAAGAGGGTAGTTATTTAGGCAGGGTCCTGGCCTCAAACTCACCACGTAGCTAAGGATAACCTTGAAGCTCTGGGTCTGCTGCCTTCACCTCCGAAGTGCTGGAATTACCAGTGTGGGCCATCCCACCTCATTTTGTGCGTTATTGGGGATGAAACTCAGGCAAGCACTCTACCAACTGGCCCACACCGGGCCTTCATGTACACGGTGTTTGTAAACACGTTGCATTCCATACTTACAGTGATCATTGGTGAATATGCATGGACAAACCCTAGGTATGGGCTAAGCATGACATACACGCCCAGCTGAGGAACAGGAGCCTTGAGCCAATGCTCTGCCTCTAGAAAGCACAAAACCAGTGTTAATAACTTAAAAGCTAACGACGAAAGGAAGAGGAAAACAGCCACACAACCACCCCAATGGCTGCTCAGAGCCACAGAATAAATGGGTAAGCAGAGTCCGATTCCTGGGCCATCATCAAGCTGCGGTGTGATACTTCTGAGTGTCGGGGTGCTTGCAGCTTGTAGGTTGTAGGCTGATTTTGGAAAGACACCTGTTTTCATGAGAGACGTTTTTGCATTTCTAAAAGTTATGCCAGGCGGTGGTGGCACACTCCTTTTAATCCTAGCACTTGAGAGGCAGAGGCAGGCAGATCTTTGTGATCTTGAGGCCAACCTGGTCTACAAAGCAAGTTCTAGGATAGCCAGAGCTGTTACACAGAGAAACCCTGTCTTGAAAAACCAAAAATCAAATTAAAAAAAAAAAAAAAAAGAAAAGAAAAGAAAAAGAAAAAGTTACAAATCCATTTGGAGAAAACTTGCACAATGCAAGTCATAAGAGACCTTGTAGCCCAGCACGGACACACTTGGGGTTCCCTCTGGGGTATGCATCGTGCAGACACACAAGCACACCACATCTGCTTTTGCCGCGTTCCTTTTCAGTGGGCGGTTTCTTGCAGACCCCTTGAAGAGAGTGACTTTGAAGACTCCAGTCAGCACAGGGTGAAGACGCACATTCAAGTCTAGATCCAGCTGCTGAGTCTTTTTTCCACCTGGAGCCTGCAAGCAAGACAGACACCTGGAGCTGGGGGTATGAAGACACAGAATTAAAGCCTCATGTGTGAAAAGCCTGGGGGCACAGTGCTGTGGACTCATACTCCCAGCTCTGGGTAGGAAGAGACAGAAGGATCCCTGAATCTGGTTGGCCAGCCAGCCTAGCCTCTAACGAGATTCAGGCTAGTAAGAGACTTGGTCTCAAAAAGAGAAGGTGGCTGGGGCTGGGTGGATGGCTTAGTGGTTAGCAGCGCCCACTCAGGCAGCCTACAGCCACCTGTAGCTCCAGCTTCAAGGATCTGATGCTCTCTGCAGGATTCTTAATGTCCAGTGTCTAAAACCTCTAGTACCGCTCCAGAGCAGTAAACGTCAACCATGCCGGCCTTTTATAACACGTTTCCAACAGGCTTAGATGCTTGCTGTAAAATTTGCCCTGGCACACTTCCCAAAGATGAGATGGATACAGAACTGGTGACCGGGCTGTTGAGATAGCTTAGCAGGCAGAGTGCTTGCCACCAAGTCCCAGGGCCTGAGGACCTGAGTTTGATCCCACAACCCACATGGGAGAAGGAGAGAACAGACTCCACACAGGCACACACACACACACACACACACACACACACGAAAATAAATAAAAAAAGAGCAAAGCAGTTGAAAATAAAAAAGAACTGGGAATTTCTGGGAGGGCGAGGCAGCCTTGTCCACAGGGCAGTGGTCTACAGGGCAGAGGGATCTTGGCCGTTTATTGTAATTCTAAAGGCTTTAATTCTGGCATTTTGTGCTTTATTAAAACATTCACCCCTGTGGCACAGTATGTATTGCTCTTGGTGTTTCCAAAAAGCCAGCTGAGAAAAAAAGCAGAAACTGAAATTTTCAGTCAAAAAGCAGGCCATTGAGAAGCCAAGCGAGGCTCGGAGGGCAACGCAGACAGCAGCTTTTTTTTTTTTTAAATAAAGATTTTTGGGATTTTCCATTGATTTTCTAGGATGTCAGCCCCCTGAGCTTTTCACTCGGGCATGTAGATGTCCTGACAGGGTAGACAACAGCCTGCTGCAACCTCAGACCCCAAAGTATTAAAATTTCCCCAAGAATTCCATGTTGGGGGAGGGGAAAGTCTGAAGCCCCAGTGCCAGGGGAGGAACTTGCCTCCCAGGAAGAGATTTCACACAGTCCTGATAACTTATCAGACCACCTTGCAGGACAGACTGGAGCCTAGAGATGGGCCAGTGATAGATGGGACCTCACCCAGGTCAGGACGGCTTAGCTATGCATGCCTCTTGCTTCTATTGAAGGGAAAGCTCATGCAGGACCCCAGAGACAGACAACGGGAAGGGGGGGGGGGCGGTCACTGGACCTCTTTATGTGTTCCTCTCTCTGATGTGGCCACATCGAAGACATCTCCTTTCTCTGCTTTTCACAATCACTTGTGGATTTAATTAGTGAACTGCAGATAGGCTGAGCCTGGCTTGGTGAGGCTCACTAACAGCCCAGGGCCCAGGCTCTGAGTCTAACTAACAGCTCCAGTAACTGGCCGCTTCAAATGGACCAAAGGAAACTGTCCTTCTGCAGGCCCCATGCGACCCTCAGGACTTGGCTGGGGACAGGAAAGCGTGCTTCCAAACGGCAAGCAAGCCCAGGAAGCATGCAGCTGGAAGAGTGGCCAAGCTGCCCACAGACAGCAGGGACAATGGGGACTGTGGGGCGCCTGCCACCATATCAGGGCTTTGGCTTTCGACCTAGAGTAAATTTACATTTGGCCTTTGTAACTTGCCTTGCTTTTAAGTTGAACTCAACCCCCCCCCCCTTTTTTTTTATCTTCCAAGACTTGCCAAATGATTTCACTCTCAGTTCAAAAAAGCTCTCCAGGAAAGGATGAAGGCTACCTGGAGGAGTGTGAATTCTAGGAGGAGGTTGGCTACCCTTGGGGAACCTGGCATCCAGCCAAGAGGGCAGCAGGGTTTAAAATAATCTTTTTTTTTTCCTTTTCTGTTTGCAGCACCTGGGCTTCGATTAATGCCGGCTGGCCTTTCTGTAGCACGGTGCTGGGCATGGCCCCTCTGTTAGTCCTGGCCAGGGACCACGTACGCAGGGAGTGTCGGGGCAGCCTTCAGTATCCTCAGGCCCACCCAGCCCTTGCTCATCTCACCTGGAAGGCACCATGTTGAAAGCAGTGAGAAGTGTGAGAGCACCAGAGAGACCTTTGCCCTCACACAGTTGCTAATCGTGTGAGATTCCTGCAGGTCACCTAAAAATCTGTCACCATCCACATTCCTGTCGTTTTAGAGCTGTGAGCACCATCCCCTATTTATCTCGCTTTTCTGATTTCTCTGCAGTCCAGCCCTTCCCAGAATGTGGCTGTGTGCTTTCCCAGGAACTGACATTTCCCTCCTTGCCAATCTCTCTCCCTCCCCCCGTTTCGTTCCTCTATCTCAGCCCTCACACCCCTCCCTCTTCCTCTCCTGATGGGGACCAGGCTCCTCTGAAGTGGATTCCCTCTGCCTTGGCTACTGCTGCTGCTCTCTGAGCTAGGTCTGGCCCCACGGAGCTCGCTGGCAGAGGCTGACAGTGTGCCCCTGCCTGGCACCCTCACAGCCCCCTTCTTATGTCCGCTCTTCTCACTCGGTGTTCCTGTGACTCACCAGGGCTCCCCTTGTGTGTGAGGCCTTGCCTACACAGAGAGGTCCAGCCTGTGCTTGGACGGACTGTGACTCAACCCCAGACCCGCCTGGCCAAAGGCCTCCTGTGGAGATCCACGCACCCCCTTTTTCCATGTCTTCCCTTACTCCACGAGCTCCTTTGAGGATTGCGATCCTGACCCATGAGTTGGGCTCTGGGCAAGCATTGGAGCTGTGGTGACAATGACCAGGGGAGATGGCATGGAGGAGTGGCTGGATTGCAGGGCATCGGAAGGTGCTCTCTCCATCAGGATTCCGCATGCTCAGTCTGCCTGCCTCCTTGCCTCCTGCCCCTGGCCTTCCCACCACTTCCTCAACTGCCAAGACTGCAGATCCCTCCCTACTTTTAGGGTTGCTTAGGTCACAAGGCAACAGGAAGTCTCCAGGTCAGAGCAGCCACAGGAGGATGTTCAGAGGAGGTGGGTCTGGGATGAAGGCCAGGTTGAGGAGGCTTCCAGACCTTGGCCTAGAGGCAGTGATGGAGCACATCCCAGCACCCATGACAGAGGCTGTACAACGGCCTGAGGCAGGTGGAGGGCTGGAGAGGAGCAGATGGAGGGGTGGACCAAGCGAAGGGGTGGCAGGTAGGGGCTGTGCCAGGGGAAGGGAAGTCAGGTGGAGAGCTGTGCCAGTCAGGGGAAGGGAAGGCAGGTGGAGGGCTGTGCCAGGGGAGGTGATGGAGTCTCAGCTCCTGCCCCTCAGTCAGCCCTTGCAAGAGGCAGGAGGCAATCAGCACACAGAGGGCTGTGCTGGCCTGAAGCAGCACCAGGTAAAAATCAATATTGCAGTTGCCAAGTGAGTCTCAGAGCTTCAGGGGAACAGAACACGGTGGTGCTGGGAGAACAGAGCAGGCCACCTTCCTGGCCCTTTCCCACAAGGAACAGGTACTTCTGGACATGGGCTTATGTGTCTCAGGCTGAAAATGGGTCTCCCAGCAAGATCCTTATTACTGGCTAAGCGTGTCAGGCTGGGAAGGCCACATGCAGGATTCTTTCTACCAAGGAACACAAAGATTCAACAAAACCTGATCCAGAGATGAGCAAATTTCTGTACAAATGTCATGAGAGGTCCTTGAAGTCCAGGAGTCTGCTTCTCCAACCCTGTCCTTACAGGACAGGTAATGCTCTCTGAGCTGGGATGAAAGGGCAGTTGGTGCATTGTCATCTGCTGCTTTTTAAGGGACAGCTCATCTGAAAGCCTGGTGGACAGATGACACTGTCGTTACTTCAGTGGCGTCCCAGGTGACACTCACCAGGAGGAGCTCTGTCATGATCCTGTGATGGAGAGCCAGCTCTGTGCGTTCTTCTCTAGTTGATGGAAGGACTTTATGGCTGTGACTAAGGTTACCGACCAGCGGCTCTGAAAAGAGGGAGATGCTCTGCTGGGCCATATCTAGTCATATGCGCCCTAAAAAGCAGAGATTAACTAGCGGGGGAAGGAGTGGGAGTCTGGATGTTGCAGGATATATCTGTCACTGCTGGTTTGGAAGATGAAGGCAGCTAGGAAGCAAGGAATGGGGTGGAAAGAGGAGAATGCATGGACTCTGGCTGACAGCCAGCAATGTGAAGAGGACTGAATTCCTATCCACATAGGGAGTCTCTACCTGTCAAAAATACAGCTGAGCGCTAACTCAAATTCTCCAGAGCCTATGATCAGTCAGCTGGGCACACAGCTTGGTCTTTCCTAGGACCCTGCATAGGTAATCCTTGCCAGCCCCCCGAGAGTCTGACCCATGGCACTTTAAGAAATGGTGCAGGTACTGTTCAAAATCAAGTTTGTGGTAGTTCGTTTGGCTCAGTATGGCCAGAGGCACCAGTGTCTTCTTTAAATTATGCTTGTGTGTGTGTGTGTGTGTGTGTGTGTGTGTGTGTGTGTGTACACTTGAGTGTAGTGCCTGCAGAGGTCAGAAGAATGCTGTATTCCTTGGAACTGGAGATAAAAGCAATTGTGACCTGCCCAATATGGGTTCTAGGAACTAAACTCAGGTTCTCTGTAGCAGCAGCAAGCACTCTGAATAGCTAAAAGCCATCTCTCCAGCTCCACCAACATCCTCTTTGCTGCCCTCACTTCTCGTTGCCTGTAGAGTCACATGTACTGTGTCGTACATCTCTGGTGCTCCCCCACCTGATCCTGCACCCTCTCTCTCTCTCACCATCCTTCTAGGCATCCTTCCTTTTGCATCCTGGGGCCTTGGTCCCGAGGGTCTCTATGCATTGCATGCGTGCTATGCTTCCTTGGAAGATCTGCAGATGAAAAATTCAGCATCAGAATTCAGTCAAGTTCAAGGATTGCCTAGGAAGCTCTTCTTGTATGACTGCTAGGGCACTGGCTTGGAGAGGAGACACTCAGGACATGCCACAGAGGTGACAGGAAAGGCAGCCAGGAGCCCTAGGCCAGCATCAGGGCCGGCTGCATCTTAGCAGTTATTTCAGTGTCATTCTGTTGCTGTGATGAAACACTGTGGGAGGAAAGGGTTTATTTGGCCTGTTCTTCCCGATCACAGTCCATCATAGAGGGAAGTCAGGGCAGGAAGTCAAGCAAAACCTGATAGCAGGCCTGTTTGCTACTACAGGTAATCGCAAGCAATACCTCTAATTAGGGAACTCGCTCACAGCAGCAGAAACCACGGGTGAGTGATGTTTGTGCGCTTAAGCTGGCCCACGATCAACCAGATTGCTCACATAGGACCACCTGCCCAGGGAGTAGTACTTCCTGACATGCCCACCTTCCTACGGCTGCGACCCTTCAGCACAGTGCCTCGTGTGGCCGTGACTCTCAACCGTAAAATTATTTCGTTGCTACTTCCTAACTGTAACTTTGCTGCTGTTTTGAATTGTAGTGTGAATGTCTAATGTGCAAGCTATCTGATAGGCAGTCTATCTGATTTGCAACCCCAAAGGGGTCACCGACCCACAGGTTGAAAACTGCTGATCTAGGGCAGGTCTCAATTGAGAGTCTAAGATGACTATAAGCTGTGTCACATTGACAGTTAAAGCTGACTGGGACAGCAGCCAGGGCATGGCCCTAGGAAGAGGGGCTGGTAGTCTCTCTGTCTCTCTGTGTCTTCTCTCCCTGATATTTCAACATTCCTATGGGGTTGCTGCGCTGTTGTACCTCTGATCAAGTCCCCAGGAGGGCAATCATCCCTACAGCAATTCCCCTTATTCTAGGAGTTGGGAGGTGGCATTCCAAGAAATGAATGCCTGAAGCCACAGATAGTACTTGACTTTGTATATGGTGAGTTTTCTTCTGTACACATCCCTGTGATGAAGTTTAATTTTGAAATTAGACACAAAAAGAATAGATTAACAGTAACTAATAATGTCCAAAAACTTTGGTGATATTGTATAACCAAAGTCATTTAAATGCTTACAAATTGTTTTTGGAATTTTTCATGTGATGTTTCTGGACTCTGGCAAACCAAGCACATTGAAGGAACAGAAATCGAAACCATGTGCAATGGGGATTGCCTGTGATGGAAATTTCTCCTCTCTCTCTCCCCCCTTGCCTCCCCAATAAGCCTTCCCCTTAAGTCATTTCCAAGTCTGGAATCTTGCAGGTTCTTAGTGTGGGGAATGTTACATTGCCCTCATTTTGCAGAATTGCTTGCTCCAGCTATACCTTATGGGTAGATCCAGGTATCTTCAGCAGCCTGAGCTTCTCTCATGCCCATAGAATCCTCATCCGTTCCCTGCCAGGGGCGCTCTGGTCCCTGAGGGCCACCCCAGGGTGTTTCCAGAGCTTGGAACTCTGAGAAAGGAAGGGGCTGGGAGGAAAGATGGAATAGACGGGTTCTCTTTCCTGGGATGTGTGCAGCTTGGCCTAATTTTCTTGTAATATAATCGGGTTAGAGTACAGCTCTTAGTGTCGTTGTTGCTCATGGCTTCCTGTGACGAGGTGCAGACGCATTTGCCTGGCTCTCTAGGCCCTGGATGTGGGGAAAGTGGATCAATGAGATCCAGGAAGAGCCCCGGCCTGGCTGTCTGGAAGTCCAGGCAGTGCACACAGACGGTTATGAGAACACTTATAGGAAGGATGGTAATGCTTTCCTCCTCCTCCGAGTGGGTCTCTAATCCTGTAACCACGGCTGAACTGATCACGTACCAAGTGATTGATGTGGCTTTACTCTGTCACTTCGAAGGGAGGTGGGACTCCCTGTCTTTTTTTGTAGTTCAGGTTTTAGCCTTCAGGGTTTGTGGGTTGAGGTTTATGAGCCTGTTGTGTAGTAGTTTGAATTGATCCCAGTTTTAATAAATTATTTACTACTGTTATTGCTATTACGTGTGTGTGTGTGTGTGTGTGTGTGTGTGTGTGTGTGTGTGTGTGTATGTGTGTGTGTGTGTGTGCCACAGTGTACATATGGAGGCCAGAGGACAACTTCTGGGAGGCAGGCTTTCTTGTTTTTCCTACACAGAGCATTCTGTGACTGGAGCCTTCATCAGCTTCCAGGTGATCCTCTTATCTCCATTTTTCATCCTACCATTGAAATGCTGGCCTTACACATGTGCAGCACCCACTCCATCAGGATTTTTTTTTTTAAACATAGATTCCAGGGATTGAACTCAGGTCATCTGGTTAGCACTTTTACTCACTGGGCCATCTGTTCTGTCCCTTGGTTCTAATTTCCAACCTTGGGTCTCTGTCTTTCCCCATCTGATTATGGTGGCCTGGTGAATATTCATTTATATTGTCTCTTTCTAGAAGACGTATTTTTACTTGTGTGTGTGTGTGTGTGTGTGTGTGTGTGTGTGTGTGTGTGTGTGTACATACAAGGGTATGTGTTTGAGTACAGTGCCCTCAAAGGCCAGAGGAAGACATGGAATCTTCTGGCTTTGGAATTACCATGTTTGTGAACCACTTCATGAGTGCTGCGAACTGAACTTGGGTCCTTTGCAAGAGTAGTTTGCACTCTTTTTTAAAGATTTATTTTTATCTATGTGTACATGTCTGTAGGAGAGGGAGTCAGCTGCCCTCTAGCTGGAGTTGCAGGCAGCTGTTAGCTGCCCAATTTGGGGGCTGCGAACTGAACGCCGGTCCCCTGGGAGAGAGCCTCCAACACTCTTAACACTGAGCTGTCTCTCTGGTTTCACTAGGCTCTTCCTCGTAGCCGAGATTCAGGTTGGAAACTGCCTGGAATGTCATCGCCACGCAGGCAAACAAGCGGAGTGGTGAGGCCAGCAGGGCTGCAGTAGTGAGAGGCGACATGGAGAAGAAGGGAAACAGAGGTGCAGGAGAAGGTCTCCTCTCCGAGGCAAGATTCAAGTGCTCCAGGCTGACTCATGGTAGCAGAGCAATTCAGGGAACTGCTTTCTCGGAGCTGGAGTCTGATGCGGCGGCGATTCCAGGAAGTGGGGTGTCAGCTCGGTGCTCAGCTGGTAGAGATCCATTTCAAGCCAACTCACTTTCTGTCACTGGAGCTCTACAAATCACCCCCGTTCTAACTCTGCGACACTCAAACAGTGAAGTAGGCCAAGTCCAGGGGACCGACCTGTGCTCGGCTCCCAGGTCACCGGACTGTCAGCTGGGGATTTGGTGGGTGCTGTGGTCTGGGTGCTAACAGTCCCCCAGAGGTTTGTGTGGTAGGGACTTAGTCCCCACAGTGGTGCTCTCGGAGGCAGTGGGCCCTTTGGAGGTTGCTTCATGGAAGTTTTTTAGGTCACTGGGGTCACGCCCTCCAAAGGTATTATGAGACCCCAGCCTCTTTTTTCTATCTTCTTTTTGTGTGCATGTAGGTGTGTGTGTGTGTGTGTGTGTGTGTGTGTGTGTGTGTGTGTGTGTGCATGTAGAAGCCAAAAGTCGATATGTAGCATAATCCTCAATTGCTCTCCAACTATTTTTATCGAAATAGGATCTCACTACGTGGTCTTGGCTGCCCTAAAACTTGGTGTGGAGACACCAGATTGGTCTTGAAGTGCAGAGATCTGCCTGCATCTGCCTCCTGAGTAATGGGATTAAACCATCGTGGGCACCATTACACTTAACCCTCCACCTTACTTCTTGAGACAGGATTTCTCAATCCTGCTGATTCAGCCAGACGGGCTTTCCACAAGCCCCAAGGGATCCTCCTGCCTCCACCTGCTCACCATGGATGCCTTTGCTTTTTACGTGGGTGACGGGGATACAAACTCAGGTTCTCACGTGCACGTGTGTGTGTGTGTGTGTGTGTGTGTGTGTGTGTGTGTGTGTGTGACAATCGTGTCACTGACTGAGACATCTCCCACCTCCTCTTTTGCTTTCTGGTGTTAACACGCACAGCTTTTCTGGGATACTCTCTTCCTGATGGTGAAGTACCCGCCACAGACCAATGCAATGGGCCAGTTTCCCACAGACAGGAAGAAAAGCTGTCAGCTGAAATGGACCTTTTTTTTTTTCTTACAAGTTGGCTACCTCAGACATTTCCTTACTGCAGCAGACAGCTGACTAACACAGGGAAATGCCAGGCAGTGCAGATACCCAGGATTCCTTCGCCCACCCGGCGGACAAGGGAAGGGGACTGACTTGTTTAACAGGAGGCAGCGGGTGCAGCAACTGCTTTTTTTCTAGCTGGTCCTCAGTCCTCAGGGTGTGTACTGCTTCTCCAAAGGCACAGAGCAGAAGCCATCAACCGTGGACAAGAGCAGGAGCAGAAGGTGGGGAGCAGGAGAAGCAGGGGCCTGTGCTGAGGGAACCCGGAGCTGCCTATCCACACTGAGGCTCCACTCTGGATCCTGGCTACACCACTGGAGAAGCAGGTAACTGAGGCAAGGGGGCCACTTCATCTCAGAGCCCCTCCTCACCGCGTGAAGGCTCTGGCAGCTGGTTGAATTCTGCCCACAGCATGTACAGCCTATGTGAGTGAGGGTGGACAGCAGGATGTAAGGGGTTGCAGGGTTCAGTGAGAACCACAGGATGCAACTCTAAAAGTCTCTTGCCACAGGTACTCAGCAAGCTCAGAGGTCAGCTGTTACTAGAAGAGGCTGCCTGTTGTGGTTTGAACGTACACCTTAAACCAGTGGTTCTCAGCCTTCCTAAGGCTGCGACCCTTTAATACAGCTCCTCATGCTGTGGGGACCCCCAACCATAAAATTATTTCATTGCTACTTCATATCTGTAACTTTGCTATTGTTATTTATCACAACGTAAATATCTGATATGCAGGATATCTGATATGTGACCCTGGTGACAGTGAAAGGATCATTTGACCCCCAAATGGGTTGTGACCCACAGGTTGAGAACCACAGCCTTAAATTCACAGACTGAAAACATAACCCTTGGGCCATGTTGGGAGGTGGGAACTTTTGGTAGCTTTTTATGGGAATTAGTGTCTATTAAAGAAGAACATGATGGAGGGAGTTTGGTTCACTTTCTACCTTCTCGTCTGTTATGATTTGAACACAAACTGTCCCCATATACTCATGCTTAAACACTTGGCTCCCAGTCAGTGGTGCTATTTGGAAAGGTTGTGGAACCTTTAAGAGGCGGAGTCTCACTGGAGGAAGTAGGTCCTGGGGGTGGGCCTAGAGCTCTTATCATGTAGCCCCACTTCCTGTTCTCTATCTGTTTCCTGACTGCAAACACAATGCCCCCTGTTCTTGCTATCATGCCTTTTCTGCCTGCTGCCATGATGGAATGCGTCTCCTTCAAATTGTATGTCAGAATAAACCTCAGACTTCTTGTTATGTATTTAAAATTATTGATACCTGTCCCTTTCACTGTAGGAAGACATGGTATGTCTCTTCTGGACATTCCAGCAGCAAGGCACAAAGGAAGCAGAGAAGCCCTCACCAGATATGGAACCTGATGGTGTCTTGACATTGGATTTGTAGGGTCCAGAGCTGGGAGACAGAAACGTGGTTTGTAAGTTACCCAACTTGGGGTATTTATTTTGTTATAGCAGCACACTCAGTAGGGCTCAACTGGTCAACTCCAAGAGGCCCTGGTCAAAGCCAGGCTCCTAGGTGCCTCGTGTGGTGGGGAATCGGGCTGCTGTCGTATGAGGTCATGGCAGTCGAGCAGAATGACACGCAGCCACTGTGGGGACGGCCCCAGGCAGGGGAGGTGGTGTCTGCTGCCGGGGCTTCTGGGGAGAAAGGCTGAGTCTTTGGACGATAGCTCACTGGCTGTGTAACTGAGTGGAAGGCAGACCTCACCTTTATCCAGTGTCATGGGACCCAATGGGACAAACGCACAGCATGTTCCAGGACATCTGCTGAGGCCGAGTGCTGGTGAGGCCTGCTCTGATGCTGTGGTTTCCGTCAGGGGGTTCTGAGATGGGAAGTGCTCATTTAACAAGATTAGAATGGGGGCGTCTAGGTGCCTCTTCCACGTATGCCTTTATCACTTGGAAAGAAATGGGGGCTAAGTGAAAAGATCCACAGGGCTCAAGCCAGATGCAAGCATGCGCTTGCTAGGCCTTAGCTCCCACCTCGCCCGCCTTCCCCTTGCTAGCCAGATCAATGAAAGCGTTTTAGTCCTGCATCAGGGACAGCTGCGGGCGCCTTCCACTGTAGCACAGACCCTTACCTCAGAGAGCGACTCCCGGGGAAAGGACAGGCCCGGCACCCACCCAGGGATTTTTCCAGGGGCTGAGGGAGTGGAAACTGGAGTGGACCCTTCTCCCTGAAGAATCTGTTTACCTGTTTCTCTCTGGCTCTGGCTGACTGTTGAAGGCACTGTGGTCTCTCCCCTGGTTTCCTTGGCTTTTTCAAAAGCATTTTAGCTGTGTGAAAAGCATTCTAATTGGTATGTCTGTCTTTGGGGAGCTGGGGGCTGAAGGAGCTTTCCACAGTTAGCGTCTTGGTTACGTTTCTTATTAGGAAAATACCCAACAAAAGCAACATAAGAAAGAAAGGGCAGTGGTGATGCATGCCTTTAATCCCAGCACTCGGGAGGCAGAGGCAGGAGGGTCTCCATGAGTTCAAGGCCAGCTTGGTCTACAGAGTGAGTTCCAGGACAGCCAGGGCTACACAGAGAAGCCCTGTCTTGAAAACAAACAAATAAACGAGACAGAGAGAGAGAGAGAGAGAGAGAGAGAGAGAGAGAGAGAAAGGAAGGGTTCATTGGCTCACAGTTTGGGGACAGTCTACCTCTGTGAAGAAGGCAGGGCAGCAGGAGGGAGGGTCACGTTACACCCAGAGTCGGGAAGCAGAGTGATGGAGGCCGGTACTCATCTTGTCTCCCCTTTTTATTCTGTTTAGGACCAGCACATGAGTTGGTGTTACTCACAGTTAGGAGCGGGGTCTTACTGCCTCAGTTAATCCAATCTAGAAGCTCCCTCATAGGCATGCCCGGAGACCGTTTCCATGGTGATTCTAAATCCCACCAACTTGACAGTCAAGAGTAAACACCATCTTGTTCACTTGCCCAGCTGGTCACACCTTGATCTCAGTGTCTCCTGAGACAAATGCATAAGCAGCTGAGAGACAGACAAGCTAGACTGTGTCTGATTAATAGGTTTTGGCATAGCAGAGAGAATGGTCAGTAGGGTAAAGAGAAAACCCACACCATGCAGGGTGAGACTTGACAACTATCCGGTTGGCTAAAGGTTAGTACTCAAAATGCATTCGGAACTCAAACACACACACACACACACACACACACACACACACACACACACACACACACACACACACTTTCTGCCCCTGTGCGCGAGCTGACCGAGGGGTGGGAAGGTGGGGCAGATGCACAAGGGCGAAAATGTCATACCGGAAACCGTAAGCTTGCATTATTTTGTAAGCTAACTAAAACAAACAAGTAAATAATGGGCCAATGAACTGAATAGATCCATCTCCAAAGAAGAAATACGAATGGCCTACTGAGCACGTGAAAATATATCCAATGCCAGTGACCATCAGAGAAATGAGAAACTGCAGAAAGGCCGGAGAGACGGCTTAGCAAAGACGAGCACTTGCTGCTCTTCCAGAGGACCCACGTTCTGTTCCCAACATCCCCACGGGATGCTTCATGAATACCTGTAACTCCTGCTCCAGGGGATCCAATGCTGTCTTCTGGCCTCCATGGGCACCTGCAGACAGACAGACACACAGACACACAGACACACAGACACACACACAGGGATGAGGGGAGGAAGAGAGAGAGAAACAACAAAAACTAGTAAAGTAAGAACATCAAGGAGAATCCCCAGTCATAATGGGGGGGGGGGAAGGTAGGTGACGAAGTGGGGGAGCCGGCTTCCGTGCTCCTGGGAGGGACGTCAACCACTGCAGTCATGACAGAGAGCAGCGTGGGGTTATTCAGACACTGGAAGACCAAAGCACCATGTGACACAGGCAAACTCATTTCTGGGTATGTCACCATTGGAGAGGAAATCACAGTAACAGACAGAGGTCTGTGAGCCCATGTTGACCTAAATGCTTCCCACAAGAGCTGAGATATGGACTCAGGCAAGGTGTCCATGGAGCAATGAGTGGCTAGAAAAAAAAATGTAATCTACAAAATGGAATGTTACTTATTGATTAATTAATATTAATAATATTCATTAATAAAGAACAAAGTTTGTTCTGTAATCTGAAGCAACATGGGCAGACCTGGAGACCATTGTGTTAAGGTGATATATAGGGCAGGCACACGGGGCAGACACCGTGCGTGCGTGCGTGCGTGCGTGCGTGCGTGCGTGCGTGTGTGTGTGTGTGTGTGTGTGTGTGTATGTGTGTGTGTGGGAGGGGACCCAAGAGGTTGCTGTCAGGCAAGGAGAAAGTGGGATAGTGGACACTGGAGGCTGGAGGGATAAGGAGATGGGGGACAGAGCCTTGACAACCTACAGTTAGGCCAGGGGAGCAAGTGCCAGTGCTCTGAAGAACAGGTGGAGAACAACGCCCAACACAACTTCTTGTGTACTGTACAAAGAACTAAAAGTCACGGGTCGCAAGGCTCCGAAGGTAATGGGATTTAAGGATGGAAAGGCCAAGGACCGGGGACTGGTCGTTATGAGATGCACACCCCGTGAGTGTGCACAAATATTATTAATTAAGTATGCGCTGTTAGTAAGTGTTAAAGAAGAGAGAGAAAAGAGTCAGGCCAGTAGAGGTGGTCAAGGATGAGAGGGCAAGAAGGTGATGCTGATGTGGCCCTCTAGAGACAGCAAAGATGCCGTGTGGAGGTCCCGGTGGCCAAGCACGGTGGCCTGGCCATGTCTCTCATAGCCTTCTGGACACGCCTGTCAGTGTGTTGCCAGCAGCCTTCGCCACCTGTTTTGTCCTCCTGGGCTCTACCTTGGGCCTTCCCTGAAGTTCTCCAGGCACCTGGGTGACAGCCAGAGCTCGGCTTTGTCCATCTTCCCAAGATTCTGTCCTCACCCAGGCGACACATTAAGACTAAAGTCAAAGGTGGTTGTGGTCTTTGGACTTGGCCCGTCTCCTTCCCACTGGTCTTATGTGACAGGTCATCTGATGAGGGGCTTGTTTCCAAGTGGAAGGAGATGGACGCTTTGCATTTCCCAGCAGGATGAATATGATCCAAGCATTCCTTCTACAGCCTTCTGTCTCTGGCACTTGTGATATTTATTGCTCTTTTTGTCCCAGGGTTGCGAATTACTTCAAATAAACAAGGCAAAAAGAATGGCTAGTGCCTGCTTCCTGCTAAATGGCTGTGCTGTGGGAACAGTGTGCCTTGAGGAATTCTCGGGCAAGGTGAAGGGCATGCAGCCTACACACAGCATGTTCTGTTCCGAGCAGAAACCTGGTGGCTCCATCCTTTGCTAAGTCTTGCATATGTCAGCAATTAGTCGGGGAGAATGTCAGCTCTCAGGTTCTCCCAGAGCCCGTGTTGTTTGCTGTGGGGCCTGGATCTGGCAGCGGAGAGCAAATGTCAGCCCTCAGCAAGAAATCTGCCAGGCGCTGTCTCAGAGAGAGGCAGCTTTGGCTGCAGGCTGCCTTCTAGGCCACCCCTGTTGGAATGCTGATTTCCACTCTCTGCCCTGCCACCTTGTGGGTCCTGAACTATCCCAGGCTCTACTCCTGTCCCTGTGAGACCGTGCAGACGGCTTCACAAGGAGTTGCATGGACAAGTTCTGAAGGGTGCTGCCAAGGGCTTCCCCAGTCTGTCTAGCAAAACTCAGTTTCCTGTCCCTCTGTGTGTGGGTGTGGGTTGTTCCCCTGAAACTCATGCTGGAGTTAGACCCTGTTGTGAGGGATTAGTAAGAAGATGGGAACTCTATCTGACTGGGAGCTTGGAGACAGGCCTTTAGGAGGTGATTAATATTATACAAAGACATTAGAGTGAAATCCTGTGCCAGAATTTGATGGCTTCCTAAGAAGACAGTGAGAGACCACAAGAGATACAATCATGCTAGCTGCCTGTTTCTCACCCTGAGATGCTCTGGCTGCCTTGGGATTCTGCCAACAAGACCATCAGCCACTGAGGATCTTGTATCCCAAACCTCTTTTCTTTATTTTTTAAAATTAATTGTTTAGCTTTTGAAGCAGGTCACATGTACACCAGGCTGGTCTTGAACTCACTAGTTAGCCAAGGCTGACCGTGAGCTTCTCGGGGGCACTGCCTTTACCTCCTAAGTGCTGGGATTACAGGCAAACTCGCAGGTCTATGCAGTTTTGAGGATCCAACTGAGGGCTTCATGCATGTAAGGCAAACATTCTACCAGCTGAGCTACATCCACTCCTGATCTTTTCTTTATAGCTCACCGGTCTGTGGCCTTCAGTTACGGCAACAGAAAGCAGAAGGACCATCTCCCTAGTCGGCATGAGACTGTTTCGTGTTTCTACCACCCGCACGAACCTGTAGATGTAACCTTATCCAAAAATTTCTGTGACCCATCTCTTGGGGTCTGGGGGTGGGTTCATGTTTTGCTTCCCTATAGTCCCTGGAGGCAGACAGACTCCCAAGAGAGCCTCCTCTGCTTCACTTTTCCCATTGGACCACACTGGCTCCAATAAGGGGAGGTTGGTGTCCAGAAGCCATCGTGGGCCTGTGTCTATGCCTCATCACTTGTCATAAGAAACATTTAAAAATATTTTAACATTACATAGAAAACATTTTTTTTTTTTTTTTGGGTTTTTCGAGACAGGGTTTCTCTGTGTAGCTTTGCGCCTTTCCTGGAACTCGCTTTGGAGACCAGGCTGGCCTCGAACTCACAGAGATCCGCCTGGCTCTGCCTCCCGAGTGCTGGGATTAAAGGCGTGCGCCACCACCGCCCGGCTTTTTTTTTTTTTTTGGTTTTTCGAGACAGGGTTTCTCTGCGTAGCTTTGCGCCTTTCCTGGAGCTCACTTGGTAGCCCAGGCTGGCCTCGAACTCACAGAGATCCGCCTGGCTCTGCCTCCCAAGTGCTGGGATTAAAGGCGTGCGCCACCACCGCCCAGCAAGAAAACATTTTAAAATAAAATTTTATAGCTGCCCTGAAAGATTCACAGGAGGAAGGTCAAATGGGGTCACTGGGAACCCCAGCAAGTGAGCTCATGGCATAGGACTGTCTAGAATGGGTGAGGGAGACGGATGCCATGGCTCAGTGTGCAAAGTGCTTGCTGCCAAGACTGACAATCTGAGTTCAAGTCCAGGACCCCACGTGATGAAGGGAGAGAACTGGCTCCCGCAAGCTGTCCTCTGATGTCTACACTTGCACCCTGCATGTCCCTACCCCTTTCATAACCCCATGCCCCCCAATAATAAAAATGTAATTAAAACAAGCTGGTGGTGCAAAAGGCCAGGTCTGTCAGTTTCAGATAGCCAAAAGTGAGCTGCACATGAGATTAATACTTTTTGATATATGTTGAGGCAAAAATAAAAATGCAAGGAGAGAGAGAGAGAGAGAGAGAGAGAGAGAGAGAGAGAGAGAGAGAGAGAGAGAACTGGGGTAGCTGCAGGGCCTCATTAGCTTTCTGGCTAGATGCTGCACAGACTCATGGGTAAAATCCTGTTTTGGTTAGTTACCATTTAGTTTACAAGGACTCTGGGTTGCAAGCTGCAGGGCAAGGCGCCTCGGCTAAGTCCTTGGACATGATGGAGCTGTCACCTGGGTCAAGAAGATACAACCATGGGCTCAGTTTCCCACCTTGGACCCAAGTTGTACTTGGCATTGGCTGGTGGTGTCGTCACCCCACCCAGACACCCTGCCTGGTCTGGTCACCAGGCCAGGGTGGGGATGTTCTGATCAATGGAACTGGAGAGTATCTGGAGGAACCACACAATCCGGCTGCCCTGTAAACAATCTTTGAAGCACAGGGAGCCAGTGTGTAGGGCCCCTGCGCTGCTGTTCCACAGCCCCCCACCCTGAGAAGTGCTGCCCAAGGAGGCTCCCAGATGAAGGTGACTGACTGAAGGTCGCACAGCTGGAGATGACTCCCAGCTTGGAACATTCCCAGATGATGCTTTGTGGTCCTTTAGAGCTGGTCTGGGAACTTTTTCTGAGGCTGGCTGCAGTGTGCAGGGATCCTGTGTCCCAGCTGAACTTTTGGGGGAGCCAAGGAGCCTGATCCGAGACAGAGAAGGACTCGGCCAGGCGGCAGCCAGTTCCCCACGGCTGCCTGGGGCTCTGGGCACCACTGTGTCCTCAGCCTAGGTCTCAGCCCCAGGCTCCCAAGCGATTAGACCTTGTGAGCGCAGGCTCCTTTTGGCAGGACCTCCTGTTCTGCTGTTATTTTTATCTCCGTGCCTGGTTGTAGTTTACCCTTATTCTCCTGCTTCCCCGTAAACACAGCTTGCAGCTCTTTCTCCTGCTTTGCTTTCTTGGCACGTGAGACAGACACCTGTCTGCCTTTCAGCCCTTTCCAGCCAGCTCAGGGATGAGGGTGGGAGGTGGGGGTCTTTCCAGCTGTGGGCTGAGATGTTTGACAAAGTACAAAAAAAGCGAAGTGAAGCTCTTTACCCTCTGAGTCCTCTCCCACTCATCTCGGGCATGACTGGGCTCTGCTCAGAGGGCCCAAGCACCTGGGAGGGGAAGGGGCCCAGGTGCCCCCCACCACAGAGGAGGTGGCTGCTGCCCCCGTGATGCAATGGGGCCTTTGGATATCCAGGGTGGGCTTGTCTGGCACCAGAAGGCCTGGGAGCCTTTGTTCCTTGGAGGTGATGTCTTTTCTCTTTGGGTTAATTATGCAGCTGGATACTGGTATTCTGAAGCGCATCGCAGTCCTACTACAGACCACTATATGCTTCCCCGTCTCTGAGGGCCTACCCACCACCCAAAATATAAAATAAAACGTACTTGCTGGTGTCCTTGGGTAGAGGACTGTAGTTAGCTTGCTTGGGACCGCTACTGGGGGAGCTGACTATGTCATGCAGGACTTTTTGTTCAGTGAACCTGACCTAGAGGGGTAGAGCTGAAAAACACTGAGAGCTGGGGGATCCCTGCTCTGGGTTTGCCCCCAGGGCTCTTTGCTCAGGATGCAGAGTCAGGCACCTAACAGCATGGTTTCTGAGACACGTGCATTTGAAATTCAGAGTTTATCTGTCCCTAATCTATCAGGAAGAGCCATTTTTATTGTGGGGTGTAGTGTGTCCCCCCCCCCCCCCCCCCGCTCTTCTATGAGTTCCTGGCACTTAGAGAGTGTGTTTTGTGCATTAGTTCTTACTGGTTCCACTGACATTTCTTCCTCAGGGGCTGTAAACCCCTTTTGATAGGGCCTGTGACATGTTCCTCCCAGACACATCCCGGAGTCAACAGGAACGAGGTATGTCCTGATATTTACGAGAGAAGCAAGAACACTCAAATGGGCAGTGAAGAAATCACATTCATTTCTTCCAGACACTGGACAGGGTTTCCATCCTGCAAAGTATGAATCTACCTGTCCCCTCTCCAGGAGGCCACAGCACTCAAGGAGGGCAGGTAAGGGGGCAGAGCCTCCGACACAGCCCGTGAGCATATGGACCTACTGAGGACCTTAGCACAGGGAGACAGTGGGCTAGTCTTTCCGGTTCTCATAAGGCTTTTCCCTTAGGGCGTTTGGAAGACTGGAGGTCTCCACATTCTGTAAGGGTCAGAAAAGGCATTCTGTTTGTTCTTGATAGGCACTCACAGTCACAGGGGCTGATTTTGTTTTAGGCATTTGGAGAGTTCTGTACAGCTAGGTGTCTGGCTGGACAGTGCAGGAATAGGGGTGAAAAGATGTCTTTGGGAAAGCTGGAAGCCTACTGGTGGCTGTAGTCTAAGAGTGGATGGGGCTTGGGGATGCATGAGGGCCAATGTGTGGGCTCCCCTGTGGTCATTGTGGATATTATTGGGGAAAGACAGCCAAACAACCATGCCCAGTGGTCACAGTCTTTTAGGTTTGGGAGTACAGAGTCAAACCTTAGTTGGACACAGTCCATAGTTTATTTACTTATTCATTTAGAGACAGGGTTTCTCTGTGTAACAGCCCTGGCTGTCCTGAAACTTGCTTTGTAGACCAGGCTGGCTTCGAACTCACAGAGATCTGCCTGCCTCTGCCTCCTGAGTGCTGGGGGTTAAAGGTGTGCACCACCATCGCCCAGCTATAGCCCAGGGGGGTTAACTCATATTAATTTTAGTTGAGAGGCCCAGGTGGTCACCATAGACACATGGACAGAGGTAACAAACGTGTTGCATGAGGAGGTGTGGAAGCAGAGTAGGTATCCCGCCCCTTTGGACTCC